GCTGTGTTCATCCAGCTCTACACCTTGTTATCTATGTTCGTCTTTGTACCTGTTTTGTATTACCTGTGAGGTGCGTGGGAGGCATATAATTTCATATAGTTTTCTCCTTGGCAACACCCCAGCCCGTCGAGTTGACTTGCCAACTCATCGCCAACTCATCGGCACCTCCTTTCTGTTGCTTAAACTTTTGTAATTATTTGAAACTTGACATTCTTGCATTTGTCCTGATGAGTGCAAGACAAAATTGCTTTGGTGAAAATGCCTCCTTTTTTTAGAAGTATTCAAACTTTGTATGACCAACTGACTGTTTCTGGTAACTGTTTCCTTCTTCATAACTTTAGGTTAAAGTCTGCCAGAGATGTGATTTCACGCACGGGTCACTCCATGGCCTTAGGCTGCCTTCACAGATATTTGGGTGGAATAGTTTCAAGTCAGCACTTGAATGCTTGTGTCAGTATTCTTTATACTTTGTCTCAAGACAACACCTCTCCTGAAGTTCAGGTAATAGATATATCTTTTGGAATGTGAGATTAAAAGGAAATACTTCTAAATGTGGAAGCATGAAAATTCAGTTTTGTTTGGAAAAAAAAATCCTCTTTAGCTTTGTTGCATGAAGAGGTTTGTTACCATAATTTATGTTAATCTGAATCTAATGAGCCCTCTGGACTCAATATTGAGTTGAATAATTTTAGGGCCTAAACTCTCCCATGTCTCAGCCCCCCACCCCACACACCAGGCCTTTTTACCACATAGCCTGCCACTACACACCCCCTGTTGTTAGTCACTAACTGTCCCCATTAACAACTATTCACCCTCCCAGCCTGATCGTTAGCAACTCCTTTGTCTGTCCAACTGTCTTTCTCTCTCTTTGGGCTCTATCCTATCATTTACTCCCTACCCCACCCACCTCCCTAATTTTTCGCATACACTGACGTTTTCCCAGCCACCATCAGCTCTGAGGAAGGGTCACCGGACCCGAAACGTTAACTATGTTTTCTCCTCGCCAGACCTGCTGAACTTTTCCAGCAACTTTGTTTTTGTTCCTGATTTACAGCATCTGCAGTTCTTTTGGTTTTTATGTTAATCTGAGTTTTGTGCAAATACTTCATTGAACTCATTTAGAGACTGCATGATGTAAATGCATGGTTCTTTCCTAAACTCTGTTGTTGGATTTCAAACTGCAGTTTTACTTGCTTGGATGGCATGATACTAAATAACGAATTGAATTTTAGATGTGTGCTTTATGGATGGATGAAAATTTAGCTCCTAAATGATAGTTGATATCACTATTCCATTAAACAGGATCACCTCTATTCATGTTATCTGCAATTTAAAACTGGATGCAGCACTTAAACTGTGCTGGAAAAGTGTACGATCATGCAAAATAGCATGTGCTAGTCCAGATTAAGCAAGATCTTGGCATGAATGAACACTTCTTTTGTCCTCTCTTTGCCCACTCTCCCATCCCCCCCCTTTCTCTCTCCCACTCCCCTCGCTCGCTCTCCTGCTTGCGCTCCTGCTCTCCCTCTCGCGCTCCTGCTCTCTCTCTCTCGCTCTCCCACTCTTCCCCGCCCCTCACGTGCACATGCTCGCGCTCTCTCACTTTCTCGCTCTCTCACTTTCCCTTTATTTCTCTGCACTGAAAATCTTTCAAAGTCTCTTGTATCATTTGTACATTTGTCATTTCTCCTTGGTGACCTAGATGGATTATTGACTAGGTTTCTTTAACCTGGAAAGGAGATTTTAGATGTTGAGTTCTTTGCCTAAATCTCAAATTGAAAAGTCTATCGTAAATGTCATTCATCTGCTATTAGCTTCCTGAGCCTTCACACATACTACTTGGTCTTTATCAGTTACTGTTACCTCGACTTTCCTTATCTCAGCCTAGGTTGGTCTTGATGACCAGTTCAGCCTCCCAAGAAAAATTCCATCTCTGATCTTCACAGCTAACTGTTCATGTACCGCTTTCGGGCTAGCCACAGCTATCATCAGCTAAGATTAGTCATTTCACTTTGGATATATCTGTAAAGAAATCAAACCTCACGCAGTTTTCAGGCAAACAAAATCTGCAACGCTAACCTATTATAATTAGTCATCAGCCGAGACTAAGTAAATGTTCACCCTGAGCATGCTTCCAGTTTATGACACATTTGATGTAACTATTCCATTTTAGAAGATGATTTAAATCACTCATTTAACCACATTACTGAGCATATGAATAATTACAAACCATGAAAAGTATTTCGGTTTCTAAAGTATGCTTGCCTTCAAAGCGTAATAGCAGAATGATGTAAAATTAACTTGTATATACAAGAATGTTAAACATTGAGTCAAATGTAATTGATTGATTTTTTAAACAAACTAAGATCTTCAATTTTTAATTATACTGAATTGTTACACAATTGAATGTTCCCTGTTTGGTGGTGTCAAAGTGATTACTTACATCGAATTATTTACAAGGCTAACCTAAGAAGTACAATCCATTACCTTTGGTATAAAAGTGTTTTGTTTGGAATGCACAGTTGTTAGCAATATTTCTTTGACCAATGTTGCTAAATTTATCAATTTATTAATAAATGGAAGTAATCCGTTAAAAGAAAGATCATTGAGAATGCGGAGTGTAGTTCTCAATAACCTTCTGCATTTCATTTGTAGACCTGGGCACTGCACTCCTTGTCATTGTTAATAGATTCCAGTGGTCCAATGTATAACATCCATGTGGAATCAAGTCTGTCTCTTGTCTTGCTGCTGCTGTTGACTGTACCGCCTGCTCATACTGAAGTTCATCAAAGTTTGGGCCGTTGTTTGAATGTGCTTATTATTACATTGGGACCAGAACTGCAAGGTAAAATGTTTAAATCACTTTAAATAAAAAACATGTTTCATCATTTATAGTAAGAATATTTAACAATATTCGAAATTTATTTTCCATTCTGTGATAAATCTCTAAAATTTACATTCTAATGTTAGTATTACATGTATTTATTCAAGTGGTTTTATTTAAGATATAAATGAGTGTTTTCAGTAGTATTCGTATGTATCTCATCACAAACTCTTTTTTTTTTAACATTTCTATTGTTCTAAATTGTCAAGGTGCTTGCCTAACGCCCAATATTGGATGTGTAGAAAGTTCCTTCAATTTAATTTTGGGGCAAAACCATTATTCATTTTCTAGCTACCCATTTCATTGAAACTTCCATAATACTGCAAGGTATGAATTGAGTGGATGTGAAGATGATGTTTCCATTAGTTAGAGAAACTAGAACCCAAAGACACAGCTGCAGAATGAAGGGACGTCTTTTTAACCAAAGGGTGGTGAATCTGTGGAACTCGCTGCTACAGAAGACTGTGAAGGCCAAGTTATTGTGTGTGTTTAGGACAAAGATAGCTAGGTTCTTGATGAGGAAGGGGAGGAAGGGTTATGGGAAGAATGCAGGTGAATTCTAATTAGGTTCTATTGTCATGTGTATTCAAGTACAGGGATATAGGAGTACAGTGAAAAGTTTACTATATTTCATGGTGCGTCTTGGGTACAAGGTACATGGGTACAAAATAGAAAAATAAAGAATTAAGTTAAAAGTTCAATATTACATTTCTTCTCAGTATAAAGTGGTAAGTAAAGAAATAGAGTTAAAAGTTTCAAAATTACAGTTCTTTAACCATGGGCATGCAGTCGCTGCACACTGGGCTTTTCCCATGAGGGCCCATTCTCCTCACGAGGGATTAATCTCTTCCCCCAAGCTGAGCTCGATCTCGCACTCCCAAGGAGCGATTAATCCCTCTCCTGTGCTGGGCTCAATCTCTCAACCTTTGTGCCTCCATGCTGCCATCCAGGCTCGCTAGCCACCTTGCTGCACACTGCTAGAGTCCTGCTGTGGTAGCACTCCGGGACCCCAGCTGCTTCCATGATCCAAACTTCAAAGAAGCTGCAGTGACACCGACTGCCAGAATTCTGCCAGGGCACACCAGCCACCTCATGGCCGACCACCAAAGTGCCCGCTGCAGGCTCCCAGTCACTGCCGCCGCTGCGGCTGCCTCCAAGACCAAGTTCCCTGCAGAAGGTAAGTAGAAAAACAAGACTTAACAAAAAGAAACAAGTGAGAAAAGAGTTGACAAGCTCTGGCTCAGGAGCCCTCCTCCATCACCATCTTGGAAAATCATCTTGAGAAACATATCAACCATGATCCAATGACAGAGCAGCCTCGATAGGCCTGATTGCCTAATTCTGCTTTTTTATCTTATGGTTTTACCCACTGCAGCACTCTTCTTATCAACCTGACTGTTTGTAACTTTGCTGTCAGAGTTGACCCTGAGATAAGATGCCATCCATATTTTTGTACCATTGACTAAGTTGATCATTTCTACCTCCACAACATTGCCCATCAGCATTTCTGCCTAATTCATCTGCAGAACTACATTCCTTGTGACCTGGAGGCACAGCTGGTCAGAGACGTCTGGTCCCCTGCAATGATCTATTATTTATAAATGTGAGGTTATCCAAAATTCTACTCCTAAACAGCAAGATCTCGTTACCCATTACCCGTCTGCTCATTGACCTACATTGGTTCCAAGTTAAGCAGCATCCTGATTTTAAAATTCATATCCTGTTTTCACACCCCTCCATAGACTACCCTTTCCTTATCTCCAGAATCTTTTCAAGCTATAGAGCTAGAGCCCTGAGATGTTTGTGCTGAATTCTGGACTCATGGGCATTAACAGAATCACCATTGTTATGGCAGGGAAGGAGGCCATTTGGCCCATCAACTCTGTATCCCTCTTTGAATGAGCAATTCACCTAGTGCCATTCCACTGCCTTCACCTCATAGTCCTGCATATTCTTCCTCTCCAGATAATCCAACTCCCTTTTGAATGCTTTGATTAAAGTTGTCTACACCATATGGTTGGGCATGACATTCTTGATCATAACTGCTTGCTGCATGAAAATGTTTTGTCTGTAATTTCTTCTTTTGGTAGTTACTTTAAATCTGTCCCCTCTTCTTTTTGAACCTTTTTCTGGTGGGTGCAATTTTCCTGATCTACTCTGTCCAGACTCTTCATAATTTTGAATATCCTTATCAAATCTCCTTTCAATGTTCTTCTCTTCTCCAAGGAAAACAGACCCAACTTCTCCACTTTATTCATAGAACTAAAATTTCTCAACCGAAGACCTACTTTGTCAATCTTTCCATTCTCTCTAATGCCTTCACAAGTGTTGTGTGCTGAACTGGACACAGTAATGTGTTGAGGTTGAACAAGTATTTTCAACAAATTTAACATAACCTCACAGCTTTATAGTCTATATCTCTTCATAGGGTGTTAATAACATCGCTGATTTTATTTGCTGCTTTATTAAAGCTTTGCCTTGAACTGACAAGCTCTGAAAATCCCTCCATACACCCCTCTGTTTCTAGGGTTCTTTCCTCCTAGTCAACCTAGCATTTGGCTGTCTGCCCTAATGCCTCCCTTTGTTCCTAGCTGTCTGTGAAACACCTTAGGTCTCTATATTAATGGTGCAGTATAAATAATAAATAAGTTGTATCGAAAGGCACAATAAAACTTTATAGTGGTAATCACAACCATTGGATATTTCAAATTGTTTTGTAGTCGTCAAAGTGCTTTATAAGTAGGCCCCTCAAGCCAACTCGTGCACAGCAAGCTCCAGTAGACAATGATATCATAACTCATGACGACTGATTTCTTTTTTTATGTTGCTTGAAGGATAAGTATTGATCAGGACGCCAGAGAGAATTCTTCTCAATAGTACCGCCATTTCTTAAGCATCCACCCAAACAGGCAGATTGGGTTTCAGTTTAATGTCTCATCTGAAATACAGACCATCCGACAGTGCCGCACTCATTTTGCACTGGAGTGTCAGCCTTAATTTTTAAGTTCAAGCACTGGAATGGGACTTGAACCTGTAGCCTTGTTACTGAGAAGCGCGATGATGTTTGAGTCACAGCTGACTATTGGGAAAACAAACTGATTGTGAACAAATTTTCCTGTTAGGGTCAATGCTGGAAAGTAATGTTTTTCAGTGTATGAGGAATACCTAAGGAATTCGGTATACTTACTGTTCTAATTATAAATAACTAATCTATATATATTTAATTCCTAGGTAACAGCACATCTGTCCCTCTGCTAAGAACTTCCTGTCTAGTTGGCTGTTCAGTGATGCAGGATAGCCCTGATTGTCTTGTGCAAGCACAAGCCATCTCCTGTCTCCAGCAGTTACACATGTTTGCACCACGTCATGTGAACCTTTCTAGCCTTGTTCCTAGTCTCTGTGTAAGTATACCATATGGATATATTCTTTTTACATTTGAATTTGGGAACTTAAACTTACATTTTGTAGCTCACCCTTTCTAAATCTAATTTTGTACCCCTTGCTCTGACTTAAGCTTTCCATCACCTAGTCTATACAGCTTTTGTTTGTTTCTGCAGCGCATGCTTAATTAACCATGCACAGAGCCAGGGCCAGGTTAATACATCAACCAGCCAAATATGGGGCTCCTGATAAAAACTCACTCTAACATAGAAAAACTGCATAGCGCCACCGGTCCCATGTTATTTAAGCCTCATTAATATAATTGCTTTGTTTGTTAGTACAGCATGTTAATAGTCTGAAGGACCATGTTTTGCATTTTACCACAATCTTGTGATTTCATGGGTTGGACTTAGAGAGTCTGGCACTGTGATTAATTCATCTGGTTTTGTAAAATGAATTTTATTTTGTGATGGTGTGCAGGCTCCAGGTAATGATTTGGAGCAGAATGCTTTATGTAATGTCAAGTACTTGCTATCAATATTTTAATGGTACTACAGTTTACATTTGTTTAACAACCAGGGTGTTATTGTGACAGGTCTGTCATTTGTTCTTTTGTACAGGAGATCTTGTTGGATAATTCAGTTTGGGTAGGTTTTTCCCTTGTTGTACCCATTTTCCTCTTATTTCCCACCTACAACCAAGCCTCCCCCACCACAGCCCCAAACAAGTGTTGGTTTGATGTGTTTAAATGCCTTTTGTTGCATTGGTTTCTTTTTAAAGCTCTGACTTTATTAATCACTCTAACAACTTGGCTGGCATGCAAAATGAATACAAACAAGCTGTGTGATGTAACCACCCTACTGATAAAAACCCTTGGCCATTGCTTTATCTGATTTAATTTTCTAATGTACTTTCCTTATTTGACTAGTATCAATTGCATCTGCAGGCTGCACTAGGATGACAGTAGCAGCACAGATTAATACTGCAAATGGTTTGGCTTCTTTATTATTATTTGCTTGATTATGCAAGAAGCTCCCCAGAACCTTGAGAATATGAGCATAGTATGTTATTTCATGTTTGCAGATTTCCCGATCTTGACATTCTTTTAATACTTTGCTTGAGTCCTGAAATTAATTGATTTATTCACTTTAACTGAAAAGTTGATTTCTACATGCTAACTTGTTGAGGGCAATAGTCATGTGAAATGTAAAGCTTTAGTGTTGTAGTTTATTTTAACTATTATTTTGCCTATTCTATTATGCATTATGGTTGGTAGTAATTGTCAGTATTTCTGTATCAGTGCAGTTAAGTGCCGTAATAAATGCATATGCATTGGTTTTTGTATTAAAAGCTTCTTCTATCTTCAAATATTTAAAATCACACTTCCAATGAAGATAGGCTTTAAATAGCCTTGTGAGCAACTTGAAATGAATTATTTTAATTTAAATTCTGGCACAAGTAATTCCTGTTTGAAGGGTAAGTATAATTTTAATAAGATTAATGTTGCTGCAATGATGCTCAATCTGTCTAGTCCTGAAAGGGAACAAGAGAATTGCTTTGCCACGCCACAGATAAATTGTCAGATAATTGTATATTTCCTTATTGCTTTCACTTTCTTCTTTTCCCTTTCTGTACTTGTTTTGACTCAAAAACATTCTTCCAATGCTTTCTAAATTCTTAAATCTCACTGGCTCAGGAAATAGGCTGATGACCCAATTCATCATCAATGTGTCCCTGAATCCTCTATTATTAATTCGCACTTTCACCATCTTGCAGCGCAAAGCATTTTTTTGAGAAGAGTGGGAATGAATAGGTAATTCCCAGATTTGAAGACAGAGACTAGCAGCATATTGGAAGGATCAGTGTTTTGGTCTCAGCTATTCACAACCTATATTGATTATTTGAATAACAAGGTGCAGAGCTGGATGAACACAGCAGGCCAAGCAGCATCAGAGGAGCAGGAAAGCTGACGTTTCGGGCCTAGACCCTTCTTCAGAAATGGGGGAGGGGAAGGGGATTCTGAAATAAATAGGGAGAGAGGGGGAGGCAGAGGCGGATAGAAGATGGATAAAGGAGAAGATAGGTGGAGAGGAGACAGACAGGTCGAAGAGGCGGGCATGGAGCCAGTAAAGGTGAGTGTAGGTGGGGAGTTAGGGAGGGGATAGGTCAGTCCGGGGAGGACGGACAGGTCAAGGAGGCGGGATGAGGTTAGTAGGTAGGAGATGGGGGTGGGGCTTGAGGTGGGAGGAGTGGAGAGGTGGGAAGAAGGACAGGTTAAGGAAGCGGGTACGAGCTGGGCTGGTTTTGGGATGCAGTAGGGGGAGGGGAGATTTTGAAGCTTGTGAAGTCCACATTGATACCATTGGGTTGCAGGGTTCCCAAGTGAAATATGAGGTGCTGTTCCTGCAACCTTCGGGTGGCATCGTTGTGGCACTGCAGGAGGCCCAGGATGGACACGTTGCCCAAGGAGGGGAGGGGGAGTTGAAATGGTTCGCGACTGGGAGGTGCAGTCGTTTGTTGCGAACCGAGTGTAGGTGTTCCACAAAGCGGTCCCCAAGCCTCCGCTTGGTTTCCCTGATGTAGAGGAGGTCACATCTGCAACAGCGGATACAGTATACCACGTTAGCAGATGAACATCTGTTTGATGTGGAAGGTCTTCTTGGGGCAAAGGTTGGGGGTGAGGGGGCAGGTGTAGCACTTTCTGTGGTTGCAGGGAAAAGTGCCGGGGGTGGTGGGGCTGGCGGGCAGTGTGGAGCGGACAAGGGAGTCATTGGAGAGAGTTGTCCCTCTGGAAAGCAGATAAGGGTGAGGAGAGTTTCCCTGACAACTGTATCCTAAGGGATGTGACTGCCTCCTAAAACCAAGTATCCAATAACTTTCCCTGCCCTTGATGTGTCATAGTGTCTCAATCTCCAGCTCTGCTGCTCTTAGTGAACTGCACAACTACAAATAAAACTTGCCAATTACTTAAATTACCGGAGTTTTGAAGGTTAAATGAGAAAAATATTCACCAACCAATCAGTTGCCTGTTTTTCTATGATGTCACACTTGAATTGCTATGAGACTGGGGTTGGTCTGCTCTGGAGCTCTGGACTGGACTGGACTGTATTGTACTGGTTAGGAGCTGCTGTCTGTCTCTCGTTCCTTCTCCTTCCTGCTGTTTAAGGTGCCTATGCTGGTCTCCAGGTGCCGTTCACTTCCACTGTTTAGTATAAATCTGACCACTAGGTGTTGTGCTGTCATTGCTCAAAAAAAAAGCTTATCTGGCACTCAAGTGCATGCAGTCATGTTTGTTGGTTGGAATGATATGCTCCCTTCTTTGAAATAAATTAGTGAGTCCATTGTTAGTTGTTGTATGTGATCTGTCAGCTTTTGTTTTGGTCCATTGCACAAATGTAAAGGGCTTTTAATTCAATTCCTCAACATTCGACAAAAGAATTTGAACTGAAACATGTAGATTTGTTATGATCCCATCTGATGTTATTACTGGACAAGTTGAATCCAGACTGAAAACTGGCTTGATAGATCTTTCTTTTTTTTGGTTTTACTGAGGTGTCTTTCACTGACACGCAATGCTACAAATTTGATTTTAACAGTAACCTTAATTTTGTGACACATAGGGAATGAAAAAATCAAATAAGCCAAACTATTTACACATAACACAAGTTTAAAGGTTTCAAAATACAATCCCATTAATCCTAGGCGGCACTCACACCAGAGAGAATTCCCTTCTCTATCACATCTGTAAACTTAATTTAACTGTGACTTCAACTTCCAGATTTGAGAACCTGATTGCCTCTGCCTTGTGTCTTCATACAATGATCTTAGACTTTCCCATCTTCCAATAATTCTTTCAGGGTTTTAACCATATGACTCTGGTCTTGAACTTTCAAACTGAACTCCTTTCAATAGGTTGAATCAGAGATAGTAGGAACTGCAGATGCTGGAGAATCCGAGACAACAAGGTGCAGGGCTGGATGAACACAGCAGGCCAAGCAGCATCATAGGAGCAGAGAGGCTGACGTTTCGGGCCTAGACCCTTCATCAGAAAAGGGGGAGGGGAATGGGGTTTTGAAATAAATAGGGAGAGAGTTGGAGGCGAATAGAAGAGGGATAGAGGAGAGGATAGGTGGAGAGGAAACAAACAGGTCGAAGAGGCGGGGATGGAGCCAGTAAAGGTGAGTGTAGGTAGGAAGTTAGGAAGGGGATAGGTCAGTCCAGGGAGGAGGGACAGGTCAAGGGGGCGGGATGAGGTTGGTCGGTAGGAGATGGAGGTGCGGCTTGAGGTGGGAGGAGGGGATAAGTTGGGAGGAAGAACAGGTTAGGGAGGCAGGGACGAGCTGGACTGGTTTTGGGATGCGGTAGGGGGAGGGGAGATTTTGAAACTTGTGAAATCCACATTGATTTGCAGGTGTAGCACTTCCTGCGGTTGCAGGGAAAAGTGCCGGGTGTGGTGGAGCTGGAGGGGAGTGTGGAGCGGACAAGAGAGTCACGGAGAGAGTTGTCCCTCCGGAAAGCTTGCAGGTGTAGTGCTACACCTGCAAATCAATGTGGACTTCACAAGTTTCAAAATCTCCCCTCCCCCTATCGCATCCCAAAACCAGTCCAGCTCGTCCCTGCCTCCCTAACCTGTTCTTCCTCCCACCTATCCCCTCCTCCCACCTCAAGCCGCACCTCCATCTCCTACTGACCAACCTCATCCCGCCCCCTTGACCTGTCCGTCCTCCCTGGACTGACCTATCCCCTTCCTAACTCCCTACCTACACTCACCTTTACTGGCTCCATCCCCGCCTCTTCGACCTGTTTGTTTCCTCTCCTCTAT